ATCGATGAGAGAGAACATCGATTGGCCGCCTCCTACATGCCCCCCACTGGGGATGTTTCCATCTCTCTCCTTCATGGGACCCCCATGAAGGCAGCGTACAAACATTTGAAAATTAGTGACTTGATATGGAGAAAAATATAGAGTTAGCTTTACAAACCTATACCCTTACGGTCTGCATCAAGGTATTGGTTGAAGCTATGGGAGTAAACGATGAGAGATGAAACGGACAAGGGCAGCTAGTGGATGCTCACAATGAAAAGAAAGGGAAGCCCATGAAGGAGCAATTCCCAGAGGCTGCTGACCAGCAAGTACCTTTTTTTTTATCCTCACCCGAGGACATTTTTCCATTTTTTGTTCAGATAGAGTGGGAGGGAGAGAGAGAGAAACATCGACGTGAAAGGGACACATTGAGTGGTTGCCACCCGCACGACCCAACTAGGGCCAGGGACAAACTGCAACCGAGATATGTGCCCTTAGCGGGAACTGAACCCAGGTCTCTCTGGACTACAGGCCAACGCTCTAACCACTGAGCAAAACCAGCCAGGGCTACATATGTAATTTTAAATATTCTACTAGCCATATTCAAAAATTGAAAAGAAACAGATAAAAATAATCTTAATGATATATTTTATTTAGCACTGATATATTCCAAATACAGAGGTGGGCAAAAGTAAGTTTACAGTTGTGAGTATAAGAAACAGAGTTTATTCTTCTTCATTTATTTATTAATTATTGTAGTATTTATTATTATTAACTTTCTCTTGCCCACTCCTGTATTATCATAACATGTAATCAATACAGAAAATATTAATGATATTTTACATGTCTTTAATGCTTAGTCTTCCACATCTGGTATGTATTTAACATTTACAGAATATCTCAATTCTGGCCATCCACATTGTACGCATGCAATGGCCACATGGCTTCCATATTAGACAGTACAATTCTATAATAGCTAACATTTATCAAGGACTTACTCCGTGCTACACAATGTCCTAAACCCATTGGGTAGGGATTATAACTCATTCAATCTCACAATAGCTCCATAAAGTTGTGCTTATTATTGTCTCCATAAGCACAGGTTGCTGTTGTAAAAACACCATACTAAAAGTTTTGGAACTTTTCCAAGCCGTATTCCTAATGTGATGGTGTGAAAGACAGGTTACAAAGGCTTATTGGCTTAAGAGGAAATGAGGGACTTGGAGAGAAACTAAAACTTATTCAAGAAGCTTGGCATTGAAAAAGAAAAGTTAGCAGGGTGAGGGAAACATCAGGACAGAAGACTTTTTGTAGGGCAGGGACACACGAAGATGAATGTAGGCTAAAGGGGCAAGAGAGAGATGGCTGGAGGTGTTGTTGGACCAAGCTCTCCATTAGAGCGAGGGCTCTGTTGCATAAACATTGCCTGGGCTATGATGAGTGTGATGATGTACACCACAGCTTCCCACCGGGGGGTGTGTGGGGGGGGGTGTGGGAATCGTAGCCTAGTGAGGGAGACAGACTGCAGACACAGACAACTCCATTCTGCAGGTGAATGCTAAACAGAGTGGAGATTGGTGGTGGTGGAAGAGACTTCCTGGGGAGTTGTCTAACTGAGTTGTGAAGAATGAAGTTGGCCAGCAAAGAAGCAAAAAGGGAGGGGATTAGACTTGAGAAGTACTTAACTACAAGACCTGGTGACTGATTGGATGTGGAGGATGAGAGAGAGTGAGAATTTAAGGATGATTTTCAAGTTTCCTGCATGGGCAAAAGGCAGAGACAGTAACATCTGCCAAGCGCCTCTCTGGAGTCAGGCATTCATCCTGTGCACCACGTACTCATCTCATGTAATTCTTACAGAGCTCCCGTGCAATGCTTGCCACTTCACAGACGTGTAAGCTTATTGGCCCCAGTTGTCACCATTGGTAAATGGAAGAGTCAGGATTTGATCCCAGGGCATCCCAGAGATGGAGGAAGGGAGAAAAGTTGATGAGGGGCTGGAGCCAAGATGGGTGGTCCAGGGGGGTGAGCAGGTGTCAGTAAAATGCGGCCCACAGATGTGTGGGAGGGTAAGGTGCTCCAGCAGGAAGAAAGCATGATCAACCTCTGGTCAGGAACAGAATTTGGTAGCCTGGGAGGGAGGACAGGAAAGGTAGAGAGGAAGGGTTGGGGAACAGAGGTGGGGGAGGGAGCAATGGGTTCTGGTAAAGGTGGTGGCTGTCTGCTTGTGAGGAGAGGGGGCATTTGTGTACATAATTAGCAGGGGAGAAGGGGGAGGCAGGGTGGGTAGAAGGAGACATGTGATCCTGGCAGAGACCTAGCAGGGGAGGTGGCATAGGAAGAGGTTGGGGCCAGGTGGGAGCACTGGTGTTGTGTCCAGAACACGTGGCTTAGAGATCCCCACCGAGGAAGACAAGTTCTTCTCTTAACCAACTTCAGGGGAAGTGACAACAGATGAAGAGGCCTTAAGAAAAGCAGAAATAGAAAAGGCCGGGTTAGGGATAAATATCTGCAAAGAAAGGGGAATTACAGAAGAGGAAAGCATGAAGAAGGGGCGCCAGGAAAGGAAAAGGAGAAGGAGGATGAAGGAAGAACCCCCAATATCCCGAGCACCCCAGCACCCTATTTGTAACCCTATGAACACCTCATCTTGGGAGAGTTGGCTGCAGCCCTGGGGTTGGAGGTGGAATGGGGGTAGATTCTGAGCCAGGCCAAGACCACGGAGCTGATTCAAGTCACTGGTCTTGTGCAGTCTGTTTCTTCACCTGTAAAATGGGATTAATGGCAGGTGGCTGGATGTCAAAGTATTTGGAAAGCACCACAAAAAGGGAAAGTGTTATTTTGAAGGGCTATCAAATTAAATATGATCATGTATTTCTAGAGCCATACGAATGAGATGTGGCCGGTATGTAGACGAAAGTCTAAGAATAGCCTCGTAGATTCCTAGCTCCTCTACCTGGCCAGGTTAGCGAGTTCGAGGTCAATGCCCAGCCTCACAGTGGGGTAGGTGGCGAGGGCCTGAGGCTGGACAGGTGGCGTTCATCTCCAGCTAGGGGCGCAAGGCCCTGGGGGCGGATTCAACTGGTACCTTCTCCTTCGCAGCCCCCAGCACTTGGTCTGTCTCCTCAGAGCACAGGCCCAGGCAGTGCTTCTCCAGCTGAAACTGCGTCCCCGCGGGGACCTTGCTCCCGTCATTTCTTTCCATACAGAACGAAACTCTCCTCTGTACCTCTGCCCAGCTTCGCACCCTCGCCTTTTTAGTGCTATGGTCTGGTTAGGTCCTCGTCCCCCGTTGGTGGAGCTTCCCCTTTTCCAAGCCTGAGGATGCGGCCAAGGAGAGGGGGGGAAAGAAATGAGAAAAAGTCGGGATGGAGGAGCAGGGAGGCAAGAGAGACGGCACATAGAAAGCCCGGGACAGAAATGCGAGAGGGAAAGACCAGCACAGGAGACCAGAGAGACCCCGGAAGGCCAGCAAAAGAGACCCGAGCGCTCGCCACGGATTCCGTAAGGATTCCTTCCGCAGGCGTTTCTGGGCTCCTCCGCGTTGCTCTGCCCCGGGCTTCTCAGGCCTCGAAGGGCTGCAGGGTGCGTTGGCCTCACCTCCCCCTCTCGCCGCTCCCTCCCCACCTCGCCCGACGGTGCCGGAACCGCGGCGGCGCACAGGGGGCTTTTCGGAGCAGTCGAGTGGAAAATAGACTTTAACCTGCTTTGTGGGACTTAGGCGCCGGGAGCGCTCTCCAGGACTAGGGCTCCTGGCACTCATGAGGGCCACTCCCAAGACCCGGCCTGGAATCCCTGCAGATTCGCGAGGCACGCCGACCCCCGGCCTCGGGGCGCCCGGAGGCCCGTCCGGATCTGTGCGCCCGGGCGGCGGCCGAGCCGCTCTGACGGATCCGACAGTGGCGAGGAGGTGGACGGCGCTGCAGTCCCCATCTCGCACTGTGCTGGCAGGGCCCGGGTCTCAGCCTCCTCACCACCGCCCAGCGCCCTCCCAGGCCTTGGCGCAGTGTTTTCCTGTGGCCTGGAAGGCCCGGGTGAAAAAGTTTGTGGAGTACTGGTTCTCTTTGCCAACAGCCCTCTCAGCCCCGGGGAATTATGGCACGAAATGGAAACTGGCCAGAGCATAGTCTTCGCTGTTCTGCGGTTGCGGGTTGAAGGTGACGGCCAGGGGCAGTCAGGCAGCCGCTGCGTTCCTGGGACTGGGGTGTGTCTTCGTGAGGACAGAGTCGACTGCTCCGCCAGCTCCAATTTAAGACTGTGTGCCCGAGGCCCCAGCTTGGCCCGGACCGCCTGCACTTGACCCCCACGACCAGAGAAGGAGAGGAAAGCAGATCATCCTGCGTTGAAGCCGGCAGAGCCCAAGCGAGCCGGCCGCGGTGGCTGTGGCTGGGCCGAGGAGATGCTTCCGAGTCCCGCGAACTTGGGCTTGAGGGCTTCAGGGCGATCGCTCTGGCGGCTCCTTTTGCGCTGTCCCAGGCCTGGCCCCCTGTGAAAAGAATCGAGCGTCCCCTCTCTGGAGCTGTCCCCCTATGACGCCCAGAAAACGCGAAACTTCACGAACAAGGCCGCGGCCCGAGAGACAGATGGTGGGTGAGCGGGAGGTCCCGGTCGCCACGGGAGCCGGGAGCTGGTTCTTGGGAGAACCTATTTGTTGGACCTTAAACACCCACTCTCCACTCATTACCAAGTTGTCTGAGAACCGAAACAACATCCCGGGACGAAATGAAGAAGGCTCGACTGAGTTACACACTGGGGAGGGGGTTGGAGTTTCTCCCAAGCCCCCAGCCCCACGGACACCTTCTTCAGCTCCCTCGTGGGTTGAAACGTTTGTGGCGACCGCCAGACTCAGCTAAAGGGCAGAGACGCGAGAAGATGCCAACGGCTAGGGGGTGAGGGGGTGGGGGTGAGGGAAGGCCTAGATCGCCCCGCCAATGCTCCAGTCCGGTTTTTGTCTCCGACTGCTGGCGCCATCCCCACCCGCGGTCCCTCGCCCCGCCCCGCCCCGCCCCCCACCTTGGGGCAGGTGAGCAGCGGCCAATGGGCGAGCGTGGGGCAGGTGCCCGCTAACTCGCTCCTCGCAGCGCCGCCGCCGAGGCCAGGCTGGGCACTGCTGGAGGACCCGGGACGGGGGTCGGTCCTGGCTGGACTAAGGAGGGAGGGGGCCGAGCTCAGCCCCCAGGCCGTAGAGGCAGCTCGCAGCGTCGCACGGAGCCCGCCCAGTGCACGCGCCAGGAGCTGCCCGCTCGGCGGCAGAGGCCGGCGCGCCAAGCTGCGCGCTGTGGCCCGACTCCGCGTTCGCTGGCTTGCACGCCCCTCGCCGCTCCGCGCGTGGCTCACCCACAGGGGCTGAGCGCGGGCGGGCGGACGGGGGAGGTGAGGGGTGCTGGTGTGTGTGCATGTGCCTGGCTGGGTGCACACCCCGCACGGCGGCGGCGCCAGGACGCGGAGCGCTCTCTAGAGCCCGGCTGCCTCTCTCGGCTAAGGCGCCCGCGACCATGTTCCAGCCCACAGCCAAGCGCGGCTTTACCATCGAGTCCTTGGTGGCCAAGGACGGCGGCACCGGCGGGGGCAATGGCGGCGGGGGCGCGGGCTCCCATCCGTTGGCAGCGGCCGCCTCGGAGGAGCCACTCCGGCCCACGGCGCTCAATTACCCTCACCCCGGCGCGGCCGAGGCGGCCTTCGTGAGCGGTTTCCCCGCCGCCGCCGCCGCGGGCGCCGGCCGCTCGCTCTACGGTGGGCCCGAGCTCGTGTTCCCCGAGGCCATGAACCACCCGGCGCTGACCGTGCACCCGGCACACCAGCTGGGCGCCTCCCCGCTGCAGCCCCCGCACTCCTTCTTCGGCGCCCAGCACCGGGACCCTCTGCACTTCTACCCCTGGGTTCTGCGGAACCGCTTCTTCGGCCACCGCTTCCAGGGTGAGTGCCCACGCTGTGTCCGCCTAGGCGGCTGGCCGGCGCCCGCGCTGCGGTAGCGCGGGGGAGGCTCGGGGGCGCGCGGGGCTGTTCTGAAGTTGTGTCCTCAGAGGCCGATTCCCAAGTAGAGAAGAGCCGCGCCAGATCCATCGCACTTCTGCTGCGTTGGGTTCCCTTCCAGAGAGCCAGGTTAGGACCTTCAGGCTTTCCTAATTATGATGCCGACCCGGACGCCAAACCCGGGAGCATCCTTGGAGCTTCTCCGTGTCCTCCCGGCAGACAGGCTTAATCTCTCCCGGCTGCGCCAGTCCCAATCCAGAGAGCGCCGCGCCCGCCGCCCCCCTCTCCGCCCCGGCTGGATCTGGGACCATACTTTGCTGTCACGTCCATCACCAACTCCCAGGGATCCTCCCTAGCTGGCGCGTCCTAGCAGGGCAAAGTCCACCCGCGTGCCCCGGGTCTGTGGGAAGGGGCAGCGGGCAGGGCAAACTGGAGAGTTAATCTCCAGTATGGTGTTCTTCGCTGTCTTGAGATGTTTCTCATCAACCTCAGTTCGACTTCTCCAAGTCACACACTCCTCTCGGACCCAGGGTGAGGAAGGTTTGCAATAGTAAACCAGCTTCCTCCGCGGTTTGCCTACTCTGGGAGCCCACCCGGCTGCTGGGGGAACCGACGGCAGTCCTCCCAGGCAGGGGGCGGGGGCAAAAAGCTTTTAAGGCCGTAGGCAGTCGGAGCTCCTTGGTCCCCCCGCTAAGGGCAGTGGGTTTCCTAATGATGATTCCCCCGCTGGCCACACACACACACGCATACACACACACACGTACGTTTTAATTATCTGACTTTCCCAAAAGAGAACTGCATTTGTTGGAGTTCATTTTCTTCCTTGAATTGTTGGAGTCTTTCTTTCTTTTTTTCCCTTTCTTTCTTTCTCTCTTTCTTTTTTAAAGAGTAGCCTTAATTTGTGCAGTAATTGCTTTAGTTTTCGGCTTTATTTTGTTAGTGTAGACCGGACCTCAGCCTTGTGAGGTTTAAAGACTCAGATCTAGGTAACCCAGCTTTTAGTGAAACCAATTTAAAGCATATAGCTAGAGTTTACGCTCCTAGAGCTAATCTGATGGTAAATCTGTCTACTAGGTCAAAGTAAACTGGATGTTTGGTACAATTATCTAGATAATCGGAGAAGAAATGAGCTATTGAAGCATTAGCTTTAGCTGCTTGTTTCACAGGAAGCCGCTGTCCTGGGTCCCGATTTGTCAGTTTTCTCAGTGCCTTCTGGCTAGTAGACACTGACCCCAAAGATCCCACAAAATAAGAGAAGGTAATTACTTGCACAAGAATTTTTGTGGGCACAGGTCCACCGTAGGGATTTCAAAGATTTGTCCAAATTATGGAGTTTTGGACGGGGGGCTAGGTGTCACTGAGGCCAGACTGCAGTCCTGTTGGGAGAGAAACCTGTCAATTAAAATCAATATTTACTGATAAAATTAAGTTTTGTTAAAAATTTAGCAACCACCTCGGTCCTCCATAGGCTTGGTTCCCGGCCTGAGTCTTGAAACCCAGTGCCTGAGGATGGATTTGAGAGTCAGGGCTGTTTGTGAACCTTTGCACCAGGTCGGTGGAGGGACTGAAGGAGGGTTCAGCGGTCCGACGAGACGGCAGAGCTGGTCCTAAGCCCTGTGGTCTCTGCTGAGCTGGAGAAGGCCTCTCTCGCTGAGCCCTCGGCTTCGACCATGCCCTCCCAGCCACCTCGCTCGCCTCTGGCCTCGTCCACCCCGGCTGGGCTTTCGGGGCGCCGAGGGCCAGGGCACCTCTCGAGAGATCCAGCTTCGGCTCCGAGCATCCCCAGCCAGACGAGGCCCGATAAATCCTCCGCAAAATTCTTTAGGAAATTGCCGCCGCTCTTTGAGCTATCAGCCCCGGCGGGCACGTTGTCGAGTTGCGAAACGGTTGGATTTTTTTCTCAAGAACCGTGTCTGGATGCGGAGATGGATCCAAGCGTGGCTGCATTTCTAAACTCGGAAATTCGTTGGACACCCAAGGACTTAAGAACCCTGAGACATTTTGGTTTCGGAGCCGGTCAGCTTCGCGGCAGACCAGTGCACGCCGCGGCCCGCCGTGCGCCCTGCGGTCCCAGTGGGGCCTCAGGGCTGCAAGCCGAGCCGGCCCAGGTCTTCCGGCGCCGCGTTTTCTAGAGAACCGGGTCTCTGCGTTGCTCATTTTAGCCCTGTTTTAATACTAGAATCGAAACCCTACATGAACGAAAAGAACTAGTCTGCGCTCGGTACGCTGCGCTTTCTGGCAGCCCGGTCCCGGTGCACAGGGAAGCGGCTTCTCCGCTGAGCAAGGTGGTGGAAAAGGAAAAGCCAGCGCGGGATGGTCAGAACTGGGCTCGGGATCCTGAAGCAGGGGGCTGTTTTCAAGGCCTGAAGGGGAGGTGCTGGTGGAGACCTGGTGTTGGCTGCACTTTGGTGTTATTTCCCGGACATCAGGAACTTTCCAAGCCAGGGAACAGCATCGGGAGGGGTCCTTGGGAGACCCAGCCTTCTGGGACCAGTGTTGGTAAAGGGTCGGTGCTTCAAAGGGCGCCTTTGTTCCGGCAGGAGGAGGGGGAATGAGGTTATCTCCGCTGCCTGGCTAGCCTTTCCCTCTCGTAGCCCCAGGCCCCTCTGCCTCGCCATCAGGCCTAGAGCCCTTGGCCGGCCTCGGCCTCTGCTGAAGGGACTGCAGCTCTCGCCTTGGGCCCACCGGAGCCTTAGCTCCCACCTCCAGTCGCCTCCTTCGTTCTTGGGAGTCTCTATTGCTAGTTCCTAGCCACTGCCTTGAAGTGGCCCGCAGAGAGAGGCTGGAGGAAAAAGGGTTTGGGTGGGGTTCAGTTCCTGGCTCCAGGGAAGGCTAAGCCAGCCCCTTTTTAATTTCCCACCTGTCCTTGTCTGAAACTGACAGCCCACGCTCACAGCCCAGAATTACTGGATAAAAACAGGCCACACCACACTCCAGCCCCAAGCTTGTTCTGCCCTTGTGCTCCAGTTAAGGGAAACTGAAGCCTGGTAGCGATTGACACAAACCACAAAATTATAAAGCAGCCGTCAAATCACACACACTGAGGCCAGACTGCAGTCCTGTTTCCTCTGCTCCATACTGCCCTTCACACCTCTGCATCCCAGTCACTGACACCTAGAGTCTCTCTGCTGCCACCTCACTTCTGACCAGCCTGGGCCAGTCCAGCTGCTGGAGCCAAACCCTGCAAATGCTGGGATGACCTATGCTTTCTCTCTTTCTCTCTAGCTCATTTATCTGGAGGATATGCCTGTTGGGACATCACCTTGGCTCAGAACGATGTTTTTAAAAGCAATTTATTTTAACATGAACAAGAAGCATCTGCTTCCCACCGATCTCTCCCACTTTTCTCTTACCCACACTTGAGACTTGAATCCTTATTCCTACCTGGATCAGGTTCCTCCTTTTACTCCCTTTTACCCCTTTCTGTCACCTCTCTGATCATCTGTCCCCTCCACTACCACAAGTTAAATTTCTCTTCCTTCAGTTAGGCCTGAGAGTCCTGGGCCTGCCCCATCTTGAAGGGCCCAATGAGCAAGGTGTACCTCCCTCTATCTTCCTATGATGTGACACCACCCCCCTCCCTTCTGTAGCAGCACAGATCCAGCAACTTGAAATGGATAAGGTGACTGGAAATTAGTGACTTCTCCCAGTCAGGGCACATCATCTCCATTCAGAAAACCCCAGCAATAAAGTTAGTCTGTGTCAGTGTCTGAAGCCCAGGGACTTGGAGAAAGTAATGTCAAGCAGTTTCCACCAGCAGAGGGACATGAACCTGGAGAGTTTTAGCAACAGCAACTCAATTATGTGCCTTGCTTCACTTACAGGCATATTTCCAGAGACGGGGAGTTCTCAAGGGAATAATCTAGACAGTTGTTTTAAGTACAAAACAACAGGTCAGATTGAGTTCAACCAGTGGCCATTTCTGAAGAAATTCATTGGATCAGTCAATCTCAGCAGCTAACTCTGTCAAAACATTCTATCTAGGGCTCTGCATTATTGGTGGGCCAGGGGGACTGTTATGGGCCACTGCATGAGAATCCATGGGTGATTTCAGGGCCTTTGAGTTTGTTAGCATATGCAACCAAGCCAGAGAGGACCTAGTGGGGTTGGGGGTTCATGGAGACTGGGGCTGTGGGTGGAAGCTTGTTTAGTTTTTGTAGTTCCTGAACCCACCACCCCAGCCTCAACCAGTCTAATGTCATGCCCTCCTCCTCCTGCATCTAGGAGCGGAGTCTCCATGATGGCCCGCATTTGCCAAGGGACAGCCACACTCTTTGAAATTCTTTATTGTAGGTGGGAGAAAAAGACAGTAGAAATCTGGAGCATATATTTACTCATGCCCATGCAGACACCATTATACCTATATTTATATATCTATCTGTCTATCTCTATCTATCTACCTACCTACCTGTCATCTATCTATACAGAACTATATTAGAGAGAAAGATGATATCAAGATATTTATAAACATATTTCTTTAGCACAGGACTATTCAGGGATGAAGCAAGTTCTTTTCCCACTAAAGAGCAGTGAGAGTCTCCTGTGGGGAGAGGGTTTTACCTGAGAGGACAGGGGAGAGAGGTGGGGAAAGGCAAAGGAAAAACCTGATCTTAGACCTGCAGGTGCTGCCTGGCCATTGACCTAACTGATGGCCTATTTTTACCACTTGCAAGGTAGAGGCTGGGCCTGTTGGTAGGCATTTTGTAAGGGCTAGTAGCCTGAGCAAGGCTGGTTCCTTGGGTATCTTCTAGTTAGTGAATCTGTGTTTGGCCTGCGGGTACCTAACAGCTTCACTGTTCCCCTATCACCTTTCTGACACCCAGCCCTTTCTGTTCTGGTCCACTTTGAGGGAGATATGATGGGACAAGCAGAGCTAAGGGACTTTTCTCACACCCTGGCCTCTTGGGTTGCTCCAGGCACTGTGGATTTAGGCTGACAGGGGCCTCCCCTAGCCCGGGCCCACCCCTGGCCCAACAGCAGTGCCGCATTTCTGTGCGTGTCCCAACCGGGTAGCTCTGGGAGTGTGGGGTGTTGAGGATGAGAGTGGACTTAAGGGAGGGGGGCAAACGGGAGAGGGGAGAAAGAGAGGGTCAAGGATTGGAGAGGGTAGCAGAGCTCTCAAGGGAGTACGGGTGCGGGCCAGAGATGCCCCGGGCTGCGGCTCATGGCGCCCCTTCTCTCTGTCTGTACTTGCGTGAATTGCCGTCGGCGGCACCGCGGCAGCGAGCGACGTGCCCCAGGACGGGCTGCTTCTGCACGGCCCCTTCGCGCGCAAGCCCAAGCGGATCCGCACAGCCTTCTCGCCATCGCAGCTGCTGCGACTGGAGCGCGCCTTCGAGAAGAACCACTACGTGGTGGGAGCCGAGCGGAAGCAGCTGGCCGGCAGCCTCAGCCTCTCGGAGACGCAGGTAACAATCACCCCGCCAGCAGGCGGCCGGTGCTCACCCGGGAGCCCCGTTAGAGGTGGGAGCGGGCCGGTACCGGAGCAGCCCGAGCCTCCCCCAGGCTTCCCGGAGCCCTCTCCTGCCCAGTGCAGAAAGCCACCCCGGCGACGCTCCTGCAAAACCTGTCTTTAGAGCCCCGGGTCTCCAAAGGTGTTTAGTCTCCAAAGGTGTTTAGTCTCCAAGAGGCCGCAGGATTTTAATCCAGCCCTAAGGACCGAGTCCGCTTCTAACGCCATCTCAGCGCTGATTTCTGACCCTCTTTTCCCGCCACTCTTCCGGGGCGCTCACGGTTTCGGGGGACACCCCGGTCTTCCCCGTACTGACTCTGCTGCCCGTTCAAGGGCAGAGCTAGCAGGGGCCTCGACTGCCTACTAACGCATGCGGTAGAGGGAGAAAGCCCCCGAGTCCTCGAGGTAGAAGCATCAGAAACAGGGGATAAGCTAGGGAGCGGCCAGCCTCGCTTGAGGTCGGAGGGCGGCCCTGATCTGGGTCCAGGCCGGCTGGCAGGGATCCGTGGAAATGGCTCCGGAAATGCGCGGGCCTCTGAGGAATGGTGGGAAAGTAGATTCTGGATATTCAGAGACTGTTTTCAGTCACCTGAAGGGCTGTTGAGTCCAGGAGAGAATAAACTCTGGGGTTGGAGGGGTTTGAACCGGTGAAATTACAATCGCCACATATATACATTTTTTGTAATTGATAATTTTAAGAAATTGTTTAAAGGAGTAGATGGGAGTTACAGGGAGGCAGATTTGGGTTAATTGTAAGAAAAGTCTTTGCTGCAAATAAATGCTGCCTGGAAGCAATGCCTAAGCTTTTGGTCCTCCCCAGTACGACTTGCTAGAAGGGCCCGCTGCTGCCCTGGAGGACTTCAGTGTCTGGTTGGGCTTCGGAAGACCTTGCTCTCTTGGTCCTTGTCAACTCTCAGATTTGCAAATAAGAGACGTTTGCAAGCTAACCTAGCATCTCATCATCAGCTTCTCTTTTCTATATTCCTCGCTCCCTACCCTTCACCTTAGTCCCGACCACAAGAAGGAGCCGGGCTGGAGGTGAGGGTTTCAGGAGAGCAGCCTGGGGTTTTCCAGGGAGGGTAGGAAGGGGGCGTAGTGGGAGAGTCCAAACCCTAACTGCGTCCCCAGCTCCCTGCGCCAGCCCACCTCACCAGCTTGTTCTCCCATCGCATTTTGGTAACTACTAAGGTCCTGTCTGCTGCCCAATTTAATCATTGCATTGCTCCCATCTTCACTAAAGGACCCATGTGTTTTTTGGTTTTGTTTTCAGATTTGCTAGCTGGGCTGTACTAACCGTAGAGAGAAAGCGTGCAAAACAACGGAGTTAATTCTAAAAACGTTTTAAAGAAAGATATATTTTTTAAAAAAACATGTTAATAGAATAATAACCCCCTTTTCCTTCTGGCAAACAGCTTTTAAATTTGTCTAAAACAAGGTGCCAACTTAAGAATGGTGTATACAGTTAACTTCTTTTAAAAAGTACTAGTTATTAATTTTTAATGGAAGAAGTGTAAGAAAACAAAAAGGCTTATAATTCCTGTACCCACAGATTAACACTGGTTGAAATAATGTCACTGTTTTACAGTTTCAATTTTTTAGCTCAATGAGAGCATTTTTAATTAACTTTCTTTAACTGAATCTTACTGCCTATTAATATTTGCTCCTAACAATGCCAGTTAGTAAACATGATTGTTTCTTTCATTTTTATTGTAAAGACAGTTCAAACTTATATTTAAAACAAACATTTTAAACAGCTTCACTATCAAAACTCTTGCCTAATCTGATCCCATCTATATAGGTGAGCTGGTTTTAGCATACAGAACGAAAAACAATAGAACCACAGGAAGTTTGAGCCTGAGAAACCTCCTTGTAGACGCTGTCTTTCCAGGTGAGGACTCAGATGGAGAGACTGGGCAGAGCTCCCCCGGCAGGTGGATGGGATTTCAGTATCTGCCTTCCACCTAACTGTGTGACCCTTGAGCAAGGTACTCAACCTCTCTGAGCTCACTTTCCTCCTCCAAGAAATCGGTTGTTTAAGGATTAAAGGCACTTAATATTAACTCAAGTAATATTAATTCTCATTCCCAGGTCTTCCCTTCCTTCTAGTTAAAATAATACATCACATTAGTATTATAATCAGATTCAAATCTAGGCTGCCTGACTCTTAGTCCAGTGTTCTTTCTGCTATGTCCAGTCTCCTTTACCATCAGAGCTGTCTTTCTGTCCCTCTCCTAACTTACATTTGGCCTAATTTGTTATATCATTAACTAATTGCCTATTCATCTCTCAGTATTTACCAGGCAAGCTTACCTGTCATTTCCAGCTATCAGCTACTTGTCAAGCATCAGTCACTCCCATCAGCCCCTTGCCATTTATTTCTACTGTCAATATCTATAATTCTCTCAGAGTGCTCTAATCTGTCCCTCACAGATAGCTGCTTTATATCTAGCCATTACTTACGTCTGCGCTCATTAAACTGCCTCCCAAAGCTGGTTAATTTATATTTCCTATTTTCTATTCATTATAATCTTCTTCCTAACAATAACTCCTACTTACCCAACTATTGGTTGGTTATCTCTTTATCATCTATTTTGTTTTATCTTCTGTGTATCCATCATCCATGTCAAACTTCCATCTCTGTAGATCTATAGATCTATTTAGCAACTGACAGATGGTATATTCCTATGTCTGCTAATGGTTATTTATCATCTATCTCATGAGTTCTGGCTTTGTCTTCTTTCTGGGCCTCAGTTGCTGTACCTGTAAGACTTAATGAAATTAACTCCAGGGTTCTTTCCAGCCCTAAGTTTCCGACTCATCTATATTATACTTCTCTATGTTTCCATATAATCCCTCCTCTAAGTTCTCAGAGCACACAGTATACGTCCTACATATCAAAATATGCACAGGACTTTGCTATTGTTTAATTATCTTCTATGTCCAAATGTCAGTCTGTAAAGAGGCTGTATCTGTTACACAATGAAATCGTAAAATGCAGTTAGATTCCTAGGCTCCATTCAGGAGAGTCTCTTAGGAGTTTCAGGATGGGAACCATCCTGCTCCCTGTCCCTCTGTTATCTCTTTCCCTTGCATTTTCTTCTAGATTGTTGATCTAGATACTGTAATCTAGTTTTACCCACGGATAAAGCTTCTGGGAAGGTTTGACAAATCAGTGTGTGGATCTTAATCCAGAGCTCTGGGGTCTCTGTAAGCCCAAAGCTTTAGCATAGAGTTTGGGAAGGGGGACACCCTGAGCTTCTTTGTTGAGGAAGGGCTGTTTGTGTGGTTGCCAGTAGGGTATTTGTACCAGGATGATGGTGGTTTTATCCAGGAGGAGAATGGAGGGGCCCCCGGCTCTTCTCCTTTCTGGGTCTAATCACTTGCTCCTCACTGCTGTGGGGCAGCCCTGGAGTCTGACCTGGATGATGCCTATCTAAGTTCAGTCCTGGGGGTTTGGTCCGATCCGAGCCATGAGTACAAGTGAGTGAGTGTGTGTGTATGTATGTGTGTGATGGGTGTGTGTAACATTGTGTGCCTACAATATGGAGCACAGATAGGCTTAGTGTTATTGATGCCCACCAGATGCTGGCAAGCCATCAGATAGCATGCAGTACAGCTTGCATGCTTCTGTGCATGTGTGTGAGGGACACATTAGTTTTAGGGGGAGTGAGAGAAAGCATTTGGTTGCTCCAGGCTGATTGACTGGTCAATGTTTCCAGCTGCCCCTTCTGCTCTGAATAGTCCAGCAGGTGTTTCTTGACCTTCCCTGGCTGTAAGTTTAGCTGAGCTGTGAGGGGAAAGGGTGCAGGAATGTGGTCCTTGGCCTTGGAGATTCCTCTTATAGTGGTGGGACCTAAAATCAAAGTGTGCGCATTTGTGGGACATGCACAGGATGAGCAACTGGAGTCCCCTTGGTCACGGGTGTGGGCTTAGGGAGCTCAGGGAGAGCCACATGGGTGATTTGCCTGAGACTGAGGGCAAGCATCCAGGATGCTCTGGGAGAGGAGATGAGGAGACTTAGGAAGAGTTAGGGCTATAATTGATGGGGGTTGGAGGTGACCTCAGTTTGGTGGGGTGAGCGTTGAGCTTAGCTTGGCATTGGGCTTGACCTTGAGAGTGGGAGCAGCTCACATGATCAAATGATAGAGAATGGATCCCTTGCCCTGGCTGGTTTGGCTCAGCGGTTAGAGTGTTGGCCTGCAGACCCAGGAGTCACGGGTTCAATTCTGGTCAAGAGCACATACCTAGGTTGTGGTTCAGTCCCCAGCCCTGGTCGGGGGTCATGCAGGAGGCAACCAATCAATGTGTCTCTCTCACATCAATGTCCCTCCCTCCCTCCCTCCCTCCCTCCCTCCCTCCTCCCCTCTCCCACTCTATCTGAAGATAAATGGAAAAATATCCTCAGGTGAGGATTTAAAAAAAAGAAAACGCAAATGGATCCTTCATCCTGTGCAATCCCTCAAGATGAGTGCAGGGAGGAGAGCAGGCTGAGGGGTGGCTTGATTTGTGTCTCCAAGTCGCTGTCTAGTCTGAGGACGTTCTCTGTGTCTGAGGATGACAGAATAGGAGGACACAGTCTTAAATTAAAGCAGAAGAGAGAGCAGTAGGACATAAGGAGGAACTTTTTGTATCTGTTACTTCAGGAGAGGACAGGTATTCACCTGAAAGTATGCAGGGGCCAGGAGCCACAGACCCTTCCATTTGGGATGAACTAAGGTTGGGAGTGATGGAAAAGAATGGATCCAGACCTAGTTCATCCAAACAGCAGATGGCTACAGCTGTAGTTTGCTTGCTTGTTAGTTCCTTTGTCCATTCACTCATGCATTCATATATGCATGCCTTTATTCATTAATGCATAAATTGATCAATCCACTAATGCATTCATTGACTCATTCATTCATTCATTCATCCATCCATCCATCCATCCATCCATCCATCCATCCATCCATCCATCCACAGCAGTTTCATGTTCTTTTTATCCTGCCTGATTCAAGCTGACCCTTGTTCCTCCCAACAATGAGTTTCCCTCCCCGAGCTTCCCCTACAAGTAGTTAATACAGTCCACAACCTGGAGAATTAAGAATTGACTGTCTTGTAGAAGTGTCCACTGAACTAAGCCAAATCAGGATCCCATCTCTTCAGCAATTAGCACTTTCCAAACCACTCTTTTGATTAGACCTCAATCTCTCTGCCATTGATTTCCTCCTGTGTTCCAGGTCTGGCCCAGAGCATAGGGCTGGGCCACCTCATCTCTCTGTCCAGCTGGCTGAACAGACCTGGAATGTGTCCACTAGGACCTCAAAGCAGACTAACTCACTGCTTTGGTTCTCCAGGTTCCCAGAGTCCAGCGAGGAGACAGGTTCCAGCACATAAATGATTGCACTGCTGGGGTCACTGTTACTGAGACAGAGAAAAATACTAAGGAAGTAAAGGTGGGTAGTGGGGCAGGTCCAGTCTCAGAACACCTGAGCAGGGTTTTGAAGGCTGAGAGTATTTGAGGTGGGGTAACTCAGGCAAAAGTGGAGACTCTTAGAAGGCTCTGACTTATCTAAAAAACTGAGAGACATTCAATGAAGTAGGGACTTGGGAGACCATAAGAAACCTCTCCCCAAACCCCAACAGGTCAGAGATGGTGAGGGCTTCCTCCAGCCAACATCTCACCTGTGCCTTTGGGACTTAAAGAGAGGCGTGCGGGAGTTGGGGGTGGGGGGAACAGGTACAGAAGAAGGTCTTTTAAGGGTGACTCCCACAGAGCTGGCAGCCACACTATGTGACCTGGTACCTTTATAGGTCCTCTGTGCTCTAGGGAAGGGGCTCTGGGGTGAGGCTGGGTTGGGGAGGTCATGGGTGTCACTCTTATTTCCTATATATTCAGAGCCCAGTTCCTTTTCTTTTCCAAGTAAAATATCACTATTCATTGTTATCGGCAATCCATTAAAGAACATTCAGAAAAGTAGAAAAAAGAAAAGTCACCCATACTTTGGGTACATTTCCTTCTAGTCTTTTTTCCCCATGCATAGATTTTATTTTTCCACGGTGGTGATCAAACTGTGCATCCTGCCATTTTCACTAATATCACTAAGTCATAAGCATCCCCCTGTTAGTACAGTCTTTGTAAACAGCATCTGGACACTCAGCCCAAGGCTGTTCTCTAGAAGATAGCCAGGCTGCCTGGGAAGAGGGTTTACAGTCCTGATTCTAGACAGCTGCCTCCTTGACACTGCTTGTTTTCATGAGGAAAATATTCAGAATCAACTTTTATTTGGGTGTGCCAGGAAGCTGCCCCTGTGCCCGAAGTCCCACCATTGAAGCTTTTCTTATTTGGGCCAGTGATTCTAGGCAAGGGTAGCAGGCTGGGTCCATGCTGGAAGGAGATGTGGGAGTGTGTGGGAGGAAGAAGCTGCAGAAAGGGGTGCTGTCCCTGGTGCTGCCCAGGATCACCCCATCACCAGGCTGGTCATGCCTAACTCGCAGCCAGCCCTTTGGGCCTTAGGAATGCTGCCCCAGGCCAGCATCCAGACGTGACTCATGTACACGCCTTGCACAGGAGGCAGGGCAAGCTCACCCACTTACTGGGTGGCACAGTCATAGCAGGCTTCAGGGTGGATGGGTAGGTGGGGGCAGGGGCCAGGCTGGCTGCCAAATGGTTATGCTGAGAACCACCCAGGGCCCAACTATCCCTGTGCCCAAGGAAGGTGGCCGTGGAATCTAGAAGCCCTGTGCCTAGAGCATCTGCCATCCTCCCCGTGTGCCTGAGGGGAGTCACACAGGCGAGGGGTCTGAACCCTGCCCTGGAAATGAGGGAAGAAGGCCCTTTGCTCATGTTATGGCCTGAAGCCAGGCCCCTCGTCTTGTCCTGTGGCTGGCTGGGTGCCCTGCTAGCACCACACTGGTTGTCTCCACCCTCTCCTGATCAAGGCAGGGGGCGGTGCTGCGGAACCCTGGGGAGGGGGAGGGGGAGCCCAGGTCGGGTAGGCTCCTTGGAAGGGACAGAGGGGAGGGTCTGGGAATTGTGAGGGTCGGGCATCCTGGGCAGGAAACTGCTTCCTGGGCCTGGCTTTGGCTGCCATCGCCTGGCTTCACGGTGAAGGACTGTGGCTTCCCCCATCCCCACAGAGCAGGAGCTGGACTGTCTGAGAACTGCCCTTGGCCCTGCCCAGGACTTAAGGATCTCCCCTGAGCCGTCACTGCCGCAGTCAACGCCAAGGCGCTCGCCGTCAGTCCACATACACAACTTGTCACTCACCATCCGCCCGGGCACCATGGTTTGCCCTAGCTGCAGTTGGCACTACTTGCTTTTGAATATGCTGTCACTTTCAGGAGACCATCCGTGCCTGGTAACCCTGCCCACTCTGCGTCACCTGCCCCAGAGACCCTCTGGCACCCTGGGGCCACAAGGGCCCCAGAAAGCATGTCTCCTATAGACCAGGCTCTTGAGCCCAGAGAGGGGAAGGAATTCAGCAGAGGGTCAGCAGCCAGGCCCCTGCCTGGACTCAGGATCGTGGGGTCTGGCCTGGCTCGGCAAGGCCCAGTGAAAACTTGCATGGCCAGGAGAAGACAACAGACGGAGCATGCGACGGCTTCATATGTTCCCTCATTTGCGTTCCCACCAGCCCTGTGGAGGAGTGATTATTGTCTCTTCTCTAGAAGCCGGTGGAGACCCAGGTCTGCTCGGCTGCAGAGCCTGGGCCTCCCCCTGTGGTCTGTGGCTACAGGATGCTCAGCAGCTCCACCCACCTCCCTTCCCTCAGTTGAGAGGGACAGGAAACCACCCCTTTCTGGCCCACTTGTCCTCTCCAGGGCTAAAGGCTTCCGAACCCAAGGTGGCGGCTGGCCAGAGGAAAGAACTCAGGCCTCGGTTTCCCCATCTGGCTCCCAGCTCAGTCTGAGTGCTGAAGCCCTGGTGGCTGCTCTGGGGGCCTCCTGGGTGTTTCTCACCTGTGCCCCTCCCTCCCCGGCCCAGGTGAAGGTGTGGTTCCAGAACCGGAGGACAAAGTACAAGCGGCAGAAGCTGGAAGAGGAGGGGCCCGAGTCGGAGCAGAAGAAGAAGGGCTCCCACCACATCAACAGGTGGCGCATCGCCACCAAGCAGGCCAACGGGGAGGACATCGATGTCACCTCCAATGACTAGGGTGGACAGCCATGAACCCATGAGGGCAGAGTGCTGCTCGCTGCTGGCCAGGCCCCCGGGTGGGCCCAGCTGGACTCTGGCTACTCCCCGGCCGGGCTGTGGGGAAGCCTCAAGTCACAGCCCCGTAGGGCTTCAAGCCTGGGGCTACCACCGACAGAGGGACAAGTAATGGGCTGGCTGAGGCCTGGGACTGCTCGACCTTCTCCTCGGAGAGCCTGCCTGCCTGCCTGCCTGGGCAGGCCGACAGCCACTGCTGCCTCCCAGCCGTTCTCCATTTCTCTTTTCTTTTGGTTTTGATGCATTTCTGTTTTAATTTATTTCCAGGCACCCACTGTAGTTCTTAGTGATCCCTGTGTTTCCCCTCCCTATGGGAATAATAAAAGTCTCTCTCTTAATGATGCAGGCATCCAGCTCCAACCCCAGAGCCCACCAGCCTGGGGTGGTGGATTCGGGTCCTGGGGGGCCCTTGGGGACTGGCAGAGCCAACCTGTTCCGGGCCTGGGAGCTTGGGGTGGGCCTTGGAGATAACTCCTTTCCTGTGTTGCTCATCAACCTGGTCTCTTGCTCAAACTCCACAACAAGAGAAACTGAGGCTAGATATGGGAAAGACCACAGTGTATACGAGGGAGGCTATGCTCAGGCCTTTTCAAACGTGTTGGGCAATGAGAATCAGGCCCCGTGGGTCAGGGGAGAGAGAGAGAGCATGTGTACTGCCCCATGCTTAGAGACTCTGGTGGCTTCTCCAGCTGAGAGGGAACCAGAGGAAAAGGGGACGATGAGGGGCTGGGTGGAGGGGGCACCCTCACAGAGACTGACAGTCCCAGCCCCGAGTCCTGGCCCAACCAGGATGTTCACCTGTCCCCACAGCACCTCCCTGTGCAAATGAAAGCCTCAGAGACAGGGCTGGATGTGAGCCTGCAGCCAGTGCCTGAGGACTCGGGCTCCCAGCCTGGGAAAGAGCTCCCCACCAGGGCACACTGAGCGCGTCAGTTCACCCACCCTTCAGTTTGTCCACCGGTCTTTCCTGCTTTTCACAAACCAAGGTTTCCTTCATCCTAAAAAAGCAAAACCCGTACTCCTAACAACCTTTCCCCTAAGACATCCAAACTGTCTCTACTTCGTCACCTCCCAAGTTCCCCAACTCTCTGCTGATGCTGATGACAGTCAGTTACTACCACCTCCTTGTGGCCAACTGCCTCTCATCTGGATTCACCTGTACCCCAACCTTCTGACCATTCCCCACTGACTCCCCCATTCCTCCCTGCCTTCATCCAGGCACCTCGGATACCTTCCTTTGCCTCTTTGAGTCCTTCCCAGTCTTGTCCTTGCCTCGCCACCCCTGTCAGTCCAGGGTCAGTCTTGTGCCCTGTGCCTGAGGCTTCACATCCACTGCCAGGACTTGTCTTTGACTCTCTGGGCCATGCCTCCAGCTGACCTGCTCTGAGCTGCAGACACTGGGCCAGCCACCACCGTCTGCTGTACCTCATGCCCCTCAGCACCCCCAACCCAATGCACCTCTCCACCTGTTCTGCAGGACTGCCCCCCTTGGCAAATGGCCAAGGTTTCATCTACCTTAGGAGACAGTGTACGTGGCTCCTGGGGGTTGGGAGGGGAGGGGCGGAAGGGTAGGTATAATGAGGTTTGTGTGAATGTCAAGAATGAGGCCCATTTCAAAGGACCTCCATGCTACAGCTGGGGTTCTCTTCCTCGAGCCCAAAGAGGACCCTGCTTCCCCCTTCCTAAGCCCCCCACTCTTCCTTCACTTCTTCCCCATCCTTGGCCTCTCCTGTCTTGCTCTGGTACCCTCTGCTCAGTCTCAGCCATGTCATCCTGTCCCTCAGGGAGCACGGGTTCTGCCTGTACCGTGCCTTTACTTACGAAGTTCTTGGTGCCTGGAATGTCCTGGGGGTTTGATCGATGTCGAAGTCATTGGGAAGATGTCAAAGGCCCAGCCATGTTGCTGGGGCACACCTCAGGCCCCAAACACAGAAGGTCCATCTGCTGGGGCTATCAGCATCTCTCTTGGGGCTAGAAACCAAAGGGCTTTTTCCCATCCCGATGCCGCTCCCCCTCATCAACCAGGAAAATGTGTCCCTCACATCTTAGTAAGTCCCAGTTAAAACTTAGGTGAATCTCACTGTCCAGCAAGTGGGGTGACCTCTGGGGAGCACATCTGCACAGGTCGGGTGAGGGTGAGAAGAGGAGGCACCCTTTTGGCACGAGTAGGGGGCAGAGGAATGGGTAAGCCATTCCTCTCAAAATTCTCTCTCCCTTGGTGGGGGAAGGGTGCGGGGAGATCACAGCAGAGGACCCCGTCATCCAGATAGAGAGCTGGAAAGGGCCCAAGGAAACCTGCCAGTCTTCCCAGGCCGGCCTGCGGGGGGCAGGGCGGGAGTCCCTGCGCACTCCCCTCCATCCCCCGTGTTGTGCCTCTCCCCACAGACGGTAAATATTGGTGTTGTGACTTCATTAATAAAGGCTTCTGTGAGCCTGAAAAACATGGAATCAGGAGGAACTATTTTCTGAGTTGCGGGCTTGCCAGGTTTGCTAATTTGGGAGTTTTTGGGCCCTCTCCAGGGAACAAACCAAAGTCTCTCTCAAAGACACACAGATGCAGCAAGGGAAGGGGAGAAGAAGCCTAGGAATGATGCTCCCCTCCTCCCCCACCCCCTCTCTCCCCAGAGATCAGGGCCTGCAGGGGTGAGGATGGGTGGACTGGAGCTGCTGGGTCAGGCCTTCCCCGAGGCCACCAGATGGGTCGCAGCCCCTCAGGGCCCTGCCTCCACGCCCGCACAGGCTGATGGGCTGAGGTGTGATGAGCACCTGTGAGAACCCCAAGTTGCACGTGGCTGAAGAGGAGGGAACACAGGGGAGCTGTTCTCAACTCCTGTGGCCCAAGCCCTGTGCCTCAGTCAGGGATGATCTTTACACACGCTCTTGCCCCTGAAACTCTCCAGAACCGGTCCCTCCGGCCTGCCCAGCAGCATGGCTCCTGCTCTTAGCCTCTGCGCTGGTTTACACGACTCCCCCTCCCGGGAGCTGTGATGGCTTCGGCTTTGTGGAACCCTCGCCTCGTGCACGGGTGCTGGCAGCGGGGAGCCCTGCCCGGCAGCGTGCAGGGGGAGGGGCCGGGAGGCCAGCAGGCTGAGCAGAGCAGGCCCAGCCAGCTTTCCTGTCAGACAGGCAGTGCCAGTTCGGAGCCAGACATCAGAACAGGTTTAACCAATTACCCGCGCGCCCCATCTGCTGTCTGGGGTGTGTGTGAGGGTGAGTGCGTGGAGGGTGTCTGCGAGTGTCTGGTCTGGGAGGGCTGTGGGCGTGCGTGCGACTGCGGGGGTGTGGGGCGGGTGGCCGTGCACGTGGGCAGCGTGTGGCTGCGTGTCCCAGTGGTACCCCCTCATTTGTCAGAGACTGTGGCTACCAGCTCATGGTCTCCCTCTCTCCCCAAGACCTGGGGGGTCTACGTGGGCAACCTACCCAGAACCCCAGCCTCTCATTCCCTCCTCTCCTCATCACTACCCACTCAGGCTTTATCAGACCCCGGACTGCGCTGCTCTCAGATCACACGTTCAGATGTCCTGTCCCCAGACCCCGCGCTCTCCCCGCTCTGGCTCGGTTCTCCTCTCCCTCCATGCTTTGACCTCACGGGCCCCTCCTGGCCACAGGCCCCTCTACTCTCTCTCCGACATCCTCTTGTCCCTCCGTGGCTGGACCGGCCTCGCAAACTCCCGAATTTGCGTGAACCTGCTCCCTGCCCGTCCTGCGGCCCAGCCTGTGGGACACCGGGCAGCCTTGCTGGACGGCACCCGGGCCCGCGGTCCCAGCCTCAGCGGAGGCCTCGCCGCTGTTGTCCAGTCCACTCCGGTTCTCCACGGGATGTCGCCTACAGGCCCTTCTCCCCACTCCTCTTCTCTCCCTCATCCTCAGCGAGGACTTGACTTCCATTTTCAGGGAGAAAAAAGAAGCGCTGGAAGAGAACATGTTTATATCAGTCCGGGGCCTGGCAGGAAGAGACGGTCCCTTCAAATGCGACACTTTGAGGAGAGCTGAATAAAGAAACGGTTAATGAATTTTGGGGAGATGCTGCAGTACCCCAAGGCTAGCAACAGTGGAGCCCATAGGCCCATAGGCCCGAGGAGGCAAGGGCAGGCGCAGCTACAGAACCTGAGGGGGCGGCTGGAGGGACCAGAGGGGGCCGTGACCTTCAGTAGCAGGAGGCCCACAGACTGCAGGGGAGACCAGGGGGAAACAACTCCCATCTCACTCTCCTCCAGTCCCCCAGTTTCCTGCTGGTGACTCCCAATGGTGGGAGCCGATGTCAAGTCCACTCAAGTCAGCTCCTGGGATGGAGCTGGTGGAGAAGGGTGCAGAGCTGATCTGGAGGGACCAGCCTCTCACCTCCCGACTTCCCAACCTCAAACCCACACTGCCTGCATCCGACCCATCCCCCTCCCCCGCCCCCCCCCTCCTGTTCCTACCCAAGGCTCCCCTCTCCTCAAGGAGGATTCTCCCCCATCCCTGGGGGCCCTCACTCCTGGGTGTTTCTTTCTTTTTCTTTGGCCTTTCCCGTCTTTTCCACGCTCACCCATTAGAGTTTCAACAAGCCCAAGAGTCTCGGGTCTAAAGCCCTCCCTTAGCCCCATGTCATGTCTCTTTGCCCAACTCACAACCAAATTTCTTTTTTCTTTCTCTCTCTCTCTCTCTCTCTCTCTCTCTCTCTCTTTCTTTCTTTTGTTAATCCTCACCTGAGGATTGTTCCTGTTGATTTTTAGAAAGAGTGGAAGAGAGGGAGGGAGGGAGGGAGGGAGGGAGGGAGGGAGGGAGGGAGGGAGGGAAAGGGAGGGAAGGAAAAAGAGAGAGAGGGAAGGGGGGAGAGAGAGAGAGAGAAACAGGGAAACATCTATGTGTGAGAGACACATTGATTGGTTGCCTCCCACACTACCCTGACTAGGGCTGGGGATTGAACCTGCAACCCAGGTATGTGCCCTTGACTGGGAACCAAAACTGTTACCCTTTGGTCCACTGGCCAATACTCCAGCCGCTGAGTCAAACTGTCCAGGGCAAAATCAAATTTCTTTAAAGAATGGTCTACACTGGCAGCCAGTGGGAGTCCTGCTAACTTCTCAGCCAATGGAGATCTGGCTTTTGCCCTGACCACACTCCACCGAGACCATCCTCTGCAGGTCCTTCCAAGGGACACGCCCTGGTCTTCATCTTCCTGCGACTCTCAGCACCTCCTAAGTATGTGAACAATTTCTCCTACTTGAGGATGCTCATCTTGTCCCCTGGGATACCATGCTCTTCTCATCTTCCTCTTACCTGTTGTATTAGTTTGCTAGGGTTGACAAGCACCACAGACTGAGCGGCTTAAACAACAAATTTTCTCTTGGCTCTGGAG